CTCCCCACCACCAGCCAAAAATGAACAAAAGAAACATACGAGAAGAAGAAAAAAAAGCCTAAAATAAAAAGATCTCTCCTCCCCTAAAGAGAAACACTGAAGAGAGATGCTGTCAGCCTCGGGGTGTCATGACTCCAGCTTCTCTTTGTCTTGAAGGGAAATGTACAGCTAGTGATAGGTGGTTAAAGACACAATAGAAAAGCAGCGATGAGAAAAAAGCGGATAAGTGGGGGAAAATAATGACTATCTTGTATAATACAAAAAGAGGTCCAGGAAATGGGACGGCACAAATAATTAATAAAGAGCTCAACAGACGTCATACACATCGGCAGATTCACTCACAAGAATGTGGGATAGCTGCACTGTAAGTGTGTTTTCACCTTCTCACTAACAGAGTCATGGATATGAAAGTGAAACTAAGCTGAGGGGACGGAAGGCGCTGCCAGTAAACCACATTAGCATCAAATGCAAATGAGAAGGGGGCTAATGGCTGGACAGGTGCAGACTGGGCCTCTAAATGACACACACGCACACACATCGCAGGCAACACACACACACAAATGAGATGGATGAATTAAACATGGGTGGGCTCGGCTTGGGGGGCTGGCAGGGCTGACATAAAGTCAATGACATACATTATTCACTAGAGCACGTTAGCCCAGCCAAGGCAACACATGACCTCTCACCCCAGGAAGTGCATCCAAACATAACAACCAAAACAATGAGGGGGTTCCCCACTACAGAGTGACAAACAAGCAGCGCGGCAAGAGGCATCGGCCTGGAAAATGCAATCCTCACAACACTGAAAAGTTGACTTCCAGATGTGTCAGGTTATCTGGTGTAGAACCAGAGCAGGTGTCGGGCTGCGGATTGCGGAGATGAACCAGAACCTGCTCCACAAGCACTAACTACCCACCGTGAAGCAGAGCCGCTCCGTTCCACCAGCTCGCAGAACAGGAAACTGTCGGCCATGACATCATCCTCCCCGGGAGGAGCACTTCCTGCCCGACATTCTTCACTCAAGACACACACACACTCGCCAGGAAATGGCCTCTATCAACACACACACACTCCTGGGGAAATAACCAACATTGATGCGGATACACAAGCACAGACACGCATGCAAGGAAATGGGCCACATCAACGGCAGGCTGCAGGAGTGTGTGTTTGAAAACACACTCAAAAACAGCTATAAACCTGAAATAACATTGTCTGTGCATGTAAAATTGACCCCCCGACGATCCCCCCACACACACACAATGGGAAATGCAGGGCCATCCAGTGGATTCTTATCTCTGGTCACAGAGAGTTTCTCTCCCCCCTCCAGAGAGGCTCTCCCTGCCTGGGTGGGGGACACCCTGTGGCAGGCCTGGGGGAGCTGGCCGGGCAGGAAAGGGCCACGGGACACAGGTGGGAGGAGGCTTGAGAGGACACATGGGGCCGGAGGGACAGTCATACCCCCAAAGCGAGTCAGATGTGTCCTAAATTACCAGGATGCAGCAGGTAAATAAAAAAACCAACAGATCTGTGTGGATTCAAGAAAAGCTATGTGGAGAAAAAGCAAAGGTGAGAGGGAAATGTGCTTGTGATTTGAGGCCCTTCCAGGCACATGATAGTTTGACTAGCAGTGACTGCATATGATTAACCCCACACTAACCAGGAGTGATGGAGAGAGGTGGGAGTGGAGGTGGGGGCTCCCCTCATATTATCCTGCCTCTGTAAGAGGCTAAAGTGGACCACACATGTTTCCCCGGGGAAGATATAGAGAGGCGCACATGAGCTTCTCACCTTTCAGCTGCTGCCCCTGCCCAGTGTCAAGCACAGACACAACAGATCATGCCAAGGTCTCTCTGAATTACCAAGAACCCCCCTCCTCAAAGGTTAAGAGCATACATTATAGCAGGAGTTGTCTCTATCTTCAGGACTGACTCATTCAAATCAGATGGACTTAAAGAGACACTCAAAGGGATGACAACGTTACAAATTAAAATACACGTTGCTGCTACCATGATATAAACTATAAAGATCCTGAAAACAGGACCGATTGTGGGGAAGGTTTTTTTTCAAGTTGAGTAAAAATCTAAGAAATGTTAAAGTGCTTTTTGCTATCAGCTTAAACAAATATGTTTCATAATTCAAATCTGCATGGCATTGGTCCTTGTAGACGCTCTAAACCCCAAACAAATTCTCTTTGCAACAGGAGGTGAGGTGAAGGGACGGGTGAGGGAGATTCTCCCGGTGAGAGAGCGCAGCACCCAGAGCGCTGCAGATCCTCACTGTACCAGATTTGTTCTCCTAACAATCAAATAAGTTTCTCATTAGCTGACTTTATTTTTCCTCATTCCTGCGGTTTTGCTGCAGTGGCCTGTTTCTCCCGTCTTAACGAGAGAGAGCTAATTAGGCAATCAGACCCATTACTCTTCCAGAAGAGTTAGAGCTAGCCCAGCTAATTAGGGCTGTAAAATCTAATCATCTCTGCAAAACAGCAGAGGGCTAACGAGCCCTTATTTAACGAACTAAATAACTTCAAGGGTGGAGAGGGGCTGTTGATGTTATTTCTTTATGAATTTGAAGGAGGGGAACTCGTGGTAATTGAGTCAGTTTCACCCTCACAGTTGTTTGTTTGTTTATGAATCCCTGATTATTACAACTGCCAAGAATATATTGGTACTAAATGAGCAAACGTATAAACCCTCCTCTCCTTATTCCCCTTCAGTCCCCCCCCTTTAAAGCGAGCCAACCCCTCTGTTCGTTCTCCTCTCACCTGACCTATTTTCCTGTCCAGAAAGAGAAGAGAGAAAGAGCTGGAGAGGAAAACAGAGATATTGCTGTTGTTTTCCCTCCCCCTGTTCTAATTTGTTGTTCGTTAATGCTGCCCTCACACCTGAGCCATTGGGCGTCGAGGGAATTCCGCCAGCGAGCGACCACAACACATGCTCAGTGCGGGAAAGCTGTTCAGAGCAGAGATCAGCCTGTTTCACCAAGGTGCCTCTGCTCAAACTGCGGCAAACTGAAAGGGAAAGTTTAACCGTACGCCGAAGCCAGGATGGGTGACAGATGAGAAATTCAACAAGTACGCACACATGGCAAACAAAAAAAATCAAAAATATGGCACAGAGTGATGGGCAGGCGTGTTGTGTGAGGCCACGTGGCGGGGTGCAGCTGTCTCAGGGAGCGCTGAGGTGAGGCCTTCCGCTTCACTGGAGCGGAACAAGGGTGGCGCACACACAAACTCGCACACATACAGACACACACCACACACACACACACACACACACACACACACACACACACACACACACACACACACACACACACACACACACACACACACACACACACACACACACACACACACCCACTCAGGTAAAGAGTGGCTTTTGACAGAGCAGCAGCGAGCACAGGACAGCTGTGTTCATCAGATAGCACAGGTCACTGCTTCATTAACACTAACACAAATACACTCAAATGTGACAAATTCAAATCAGACATAACACCTAAATGACCTACGATGCACGACATTACCATGCATCTGTTTGGATAGGTTGAAAACAAACAGAAAAGGAGATACTTAATGGAAAAATCATTTACACAGCCTCCAAGTACAGCTTTTAATCTGCACGCTGCAACTACTGCTCAAGTATAAACAAATAATTTCCCTCACACTGTAGGTCCGCATTATTCACACACGTGCCACACAGCACAGGCCCAACTGTAAATCAACTGACAGTAAATCAGGCGAGCTGCTGCATCATTCAGAGGTGGTTTATGACGGCAGGAGAAAGGTGTACACTTGAAGAAAAGTGTGTGTGTGTGTGTGTGTGTGTGTGTGTGTGTGTGTGTGTGTGTGTGTGTGTGTGTGTGTGTAGGAGTCTGCCAGTGTCAAAAGCGCTTCAGTGTAAAACACTCCAGATTTATACACAGAAACACACACACAACCGCCAGGCTGTAGCTGTAACCCTAACTGCTCATCAGCTAAGTCATCAGCCCAACCACACAAACACTGTTTGACCACACTTGAAGCAGAGCTCAACTGCTCTGTGATTGCTTCTCCACTTCTCTCACACACACACACGGCATATTATTTACTGCTGTTTCACACATTTTGCGCACACAGACGATTAAGGTTTCTGTAATTTTAAACGGCCTGCGGCCTGTCTTATTAGACGTGCAGGTTTCTTTTTTTTTATTCAGACAAATCAAATGCTTCCATTGGTTTACTCCACTTATATGAAAATGTTTTATATGTATGGGTTGTTTCTGCCACATTTGCTGCCAGTGTATTCTGCACAGCTCCTAGTCTGAGCCACAGGCAGCTGATGTGTTACACTTGTCTCTGCGATGACAGCGCCACATCACATCAGCTGAGGTCAAAGGGCAAAGTTTTCTTACCTGTCGATGATGACAGGGTCTGATGGGGTCTCGTTCCTGTTGCCACAACTCTTCTTATCGCAGCATCGACTGTGGGGAGGGGGGAAGTAAAGACAAAGCAGAGTTAGTCACTGAGATGTAACAAAGAGAAATAACGATAGGGTACATCACAGAAAGGGAGAGGAAGTCAGATGAGGGTGCAGGGAAGAGAAAGAGGAGTAAAAGGGCGTGGGACTTTGGCAGAGTTTTAAGAAACAATGTGAATTGGGCTTCCCGAGGTAAGACCGGGGCTCTAGCGCTACAGTAGGTGAGATCAGCGGGGTGATTTTTCTGAGAAGTTTTGAGGAGGAGAGCTAAAGCAGTGAGCTTGAATGGGGCTGGATACAAACTTGAATTAGCCTCCAGGGCTCAGGTTAGCTCCATTTCTGTCAGACATCACACAACCAGACATCTTATGTTCTCTATTTTTCCTCAGTGCTCGTCCCCTCCCTCTATCCCGCCTCTCTCTCTCTCTTTCTCTCTCTCTCTCTCTCTCGCGCTTTTCTCTCTCAGAAGTGGGTCACAGAGTGGTCCCACTGGACCTGGGGAGTAGTGCATGCTGGGTAAAAGGGGGTTGCATACTGATGTGACGAGTCCTTTCTGAATCGTTTGACTGCAGCACAATATAACAGTGTTGTTGTGTGCCGTCAGCCCCCCTATATCCCCCAGAAAGTATCACAGCGTCTACCTTTTCTTCTCTGTCTGTACCTGTGTCTGACTCCATGTGTGCTTCTACTGTACATGTGTGTGTGTGGGAGGGGATGGAGAAAGACACAAAAGAGAGGGAGAGAAAGGGGGAGACAGATTGACCCTCCCCCCTACTTTCTTGCGTCCCTCAGGACAGGAGGTTTGGAGAGCCAGATCAGATTTCTGATCTCGACCGTTTCCTGCAACGTATGAAAACAAGTGGTCTAAATGGCCTTGTGTGATAACCAGGAAGTGGCTACACTTTGCCACTGGCTATATTCTCTACATGTAACTCTACATGTATTTCTAAACGGCTGGTTTGTATGGGGGCAACCACAAACTTTGTCATGCTTTTATTGACTGTAAATGTACGCACAGGCCTGCGAAATCGCTACGCTTGCTTCTGTATATTTGACTGTGCAAGTGTCTGTATTTTATGTGTAATCCGAGCCTGTCCCCCTCTGCACATAGCTCAGTGTCAGGACACAGCAACATGCATGTATTACACAGACTAAGGAGGATGGGTTTGAGTAATGAGCTTTTCCTTGTCCTAATTAGCTGAACATGAGAGGGATGCACACACACACACACACACACACGCACACACACACACACACACACACACACACACACACACACACACACACACACACACACACACACACACACACACACACACACACACACACACACACACACACACACACACACACACACAGAAATAGGCCAGGGCCCATCTTCCCAACCCACTTTGAGGAAAATTATAAGAATTTGATTGTAATTGAGCAGTGCTCCTCATGTATTTGCCACCACTTTACACCGACAGAGACACATCCGATGTGAAATAAGTATATATGTTGATCGGGTACAAAGTGTCAATTGGACCAATAAATGACAGCTATACCTGGGTGTGTCTTGTCTTACCTGCACATGATCTCGTGGGTCAACAGGACCCGACACATCTCTGGGTTTTTATCCTGGCCCTCATAGATAATCGCCTGAAGGATGGAGAAGAAAAAAAAAAGAAATCACAGAAGATTCAAAATAACCGTGATTGAGATTTTTTTTAATTGGCATGTGAAAAAAAGGGAGCCATGATGCAGGGGCAAATAAAAAAATAAAAAAAGTGTGTCTCTTTCATCTGGGAGTAGTTTTGCCTATCTGACAAATGTGTGTGTTGTGGGAATCCAGTCCTCCTGAACAGGAACGCTCTGTTCTGACAGAGACAGTTAAAGGGAAAGTGTGTGTGTGTGTGTGTGTGTGTGTGTGTGTGTGTGTGTGTGTGTGTGTGTGTGTGTGTGTGTGTATGTGTTTGTGTTGTGAATGTGCGTACTCCTGCGATTGCATATGTGTTAGACCGTGCACGTATGTTTATATGCTGTGTACAGTGAGCAGTTGGACTGCCAGACTGGAGTATAGTGCACCATCTGGTCCATACAGCACAGCGTCCAAAAATCTAGTCTGGTTACCCCTCCAACCCCACTCAACATGCTCTCCAGGGCTGTGATCACCCTGCAAACACACACACATAAACTGATAAACATGCCAACACACGTGCACAAACGCACACGCACAAAAAACATCCCCTCCTACTCCTTTCATTCTAAGGCAAACTCTCTTCAAGCCTAATGGCACTAGAGGCGGAATTGGCAAAACAAAAGACCTGATATCAAAACAGCGTTGAAGGGGCTTATTTTCTGCGTGTCTAAGTCATCCGTACGGAGAATTCCCTCAGTGTGTGCCAGCCCACATGTGCTGCTCTGTATTTCTTTGTGTGATTGAATTGGCCATAACACACTCCGGGATAGTTTGTTCTGTTTCACATTGAGGAAATGAGGGTCAAGGTCCTCAAAGAGTGAGCTGGCATGCATCACTGTCTCTCTCAAACACTAACACACAACCGCTTCTGCACCTCGCTGAAATATTCACACACACACACACGCACACGCACACGCACACACACACACACACACACACACACACACACACACACACACACACACACACACACACACACACACACACACACACCGCCTGGTGCTTGTAAAAACACACACACATCCACACACCATCCCCACTAACAGGCTGCTGTGCAGAGGTAGAGTATGAGGACACATGTCCTCTACTTTTCTGGGCCCCTGTAAATGTATTCCACAGGTAAGACAGGTCGTTTATCAAGCCGCCTGTGCTGAGCTGAAGTTGAGGGTCTCAGACACAGGCATGCAGTGGGGGGGAGGAGGTGGTGGAGGGAGGCGGTTGGTTGGAGGTAGGGGGCAACATTCAGACCCACACAACCTGCGAACGGATGCACGGGTTCACTCTTTAAACCTGTAGTTTAATGCAGACCTCTTACCTGTTTAGTCATAGAGTCGATGAGACGAACATACAAGTCCTGCTCAGTCCTGATCCCTGCAGAGACACAGAGAGAAGGAAATGATTAAAATGTGACTTACTTAACATCTGAGGCAAAGCTTTCCCCATTCTGGGGGATATTTCAGATCACAAGTTGTATTCAATCTGAAGTCTCCTCTGAGACACTTATGGAAACCGATTGAGCCCAAACTGTTAGTAATGACTTTCTGTATTTGTTGCATGCTGTCATTTTGCTTGAGACTTGAAAATGTTTTATTTTTTTATTTATCCCTGTTAATTTTATCGCTAAAAATGTATTAAGAACTTTGTAAATGTGCACAGTAGGGATGAATGAATTATAATCAAGATTATTTAATTATTCAATCGAGGCAACAAGACTACAAATAAAAAGAATCATTAAAAAGTAAGATGGCAAACATTTTATTATGCTGCCTTGGGTTGTTTACTGCTGACCGGAGAAGATCTATTTAATGTAGGAAGCTCCAAGCTAATTATAATTATAATAATGCAAACCTAAAAATAATAATTATATAAGAATCATATTGTGGTAATTAAAATAATGTGTAAATAACATTTAAAGCATTTAACATAAAGCATTACTCATTCACGATTAATTAAAAAATAATACATGTAAAAAACACGATGTGACCTCTTAAGACATTTGTTTCCCGAGTTTTCTCTCGTTGCTTTGGCGTATCATTCACACTCTGCTTTTGTTATTGCTCAATACAAAAAATGATGGAAGCTAAACTCACCGTTACTGTAGAGGAGCTGAAGCCTATAATGGATCCCATTGTTGGTCTTTTCCCCCGTCGTTTCCTATGAAAATTAAAGCAAGCAGAGCCGGTCAGAGCAGGCATCTCCTCCTGGGACTCTACTGCGCGTCCACAACATAGCACACTACGTTTGTCGAACTGTAATATCATTTAAATTACTTCGATATGTCATCCACGCAGACAAAATAAAGAAAAAAAGTTCGAAACTTGAACTATTCTTTACATGTTTTGATGAAATATAGCGTAAAACGTAATTTATCCAAAATCTGACCTTTTGAAAAAATAACTGTAATATATAGGACTCTTTTCAACTATATTTACCCAAATTAGAAACGGAAATCGTTTGAAAATATTACCACAAAGGTTAAAGATACAATAATATTATTTATATATTCAGTAAATCACATTGTGTATGGTATATAATATTAATGTGTGTTAATACTGACACACAGTAAAAGGCCATTTGAATCTAATAAACAAGTCAATACAAGAGCTGATGAATAAAACAAGCATTTAAAGTAAAAACACTCCCATTTAACGCTACTTGCAAACAGATCAATATTACGCTTGATCGACGTATCAAACACGAATATTGATGGTTTTTTTTGAAAATTAAATATTGTGTCTGACAACACCTGCAGAAATAAAGCAACCCGCTGTGCTCAACTGACATACGAAATATTAATAATAATGGCAAAAGTGTTCATTCACTTGATTTACACCTTTACGTAAATTAGTTCAACATTAACTTCGAAGTTTCTGTATTTATAAAGAAAAGTTAAGATAATCAGAAGTGTGTAAATCTTTCAGGAAACCACATCTAAAAAGCCTCCAGGACCCATGATCCCTGCTGTGTGCGTCTGGCCACTTTGTTAACACACGTCTGGTAATTTATCACTTTGACTTAACAACCAATATACTGTGTCATGCATCAGTCGATGCTCCGCTAAAATGCACGCATTACAAGTTTATTTGAAAGATTTTATTACAAACTGTCATGTAGTGTTTTGTTTTCGGTTTTTATGAAATGTTCCATCTCACCTTATCCTTCTCTACAAAGTCGATGTAGGTAGTTCTCTCTATTTCCACCGGCTGGCCCTGTCTGTCGTACAAAGCCAGGACGAAGTGAAAGAAGTTGGACTTGCGAAGATTGGAGGGCGGCTGTTTCTCGAAGTGTGCCCGAGCCAGACCCACTCCGCTGCGGAAACAAGCACAAACCAGCAGCCACCACGGAGACAGTTACAATTATTTAATTAAATTAAATTGCAACATAAATGAGATTAGCTTTAGAATATATAATCTACAATCGCCTATGTTTCAGTCACTGTCCATTATAAAAACCTTAAATAGGCTACATATATGTCATAATTTAATTAAAACATCTTTCTAATTCGCTGAAAGGCCATTTTAAGTTTAAATCAACAATCATTAAACAACGAAGTAAAAGTTTTGAGCTACAGGCCTAAAACAGTTAAAACATACCAATGTATTATTCAAACATAATTTTGACAAATAAATTGCTTTTGTGGCAGGAGGACTACTGTCAATAGAAGTGTGATATTGCATTTCTAAATTTAATAAGGAATTAGATTTGTTGGTTGAAAAAAACACTGAATTTGAACTGTAGAAATATATGAAAAAATAACCTCTGCTTACTAAAAAGAAAAGCTTAACCACCACCGAAGTAAGGTGAAAATCTTAAACTCACTCACAGCCCACCAAAGCGAATCCAAGCCTTTCATTTAAACTAAGCCGTAAAGTGCCTGGAGCTAACTGTGCTTTTCCTCAAGAAATATGCTAAACCACTCTGAGGCACACGCAGTTATTAGCCTATATTATCTTATATTTAGAGCTGAAAACTTATAAAAGCCAGCAGGAACAGTGGTTATCCAACTGTACGTCCTCTGGGAACGCGAGCTGCCCCGAGTGATGCAGCCCCTCCGTCTCTAACATCGCGGATCTGAACGCGCTCCCCGGTCTCCACGCCCCAGTGCAGCGCAGCGCCAAGGCCGCCTCAGGCTCACCTCTGGGCGGCTGTGTTGGAGTCCAGCACTCCGGCGCCCTGCATCCATGTCCGAACCGCGTTCATCCCGGCCACCATGGGCTCTTCTTTCATACTACTCCCACTCCTCTGGATGCTCTCGTGGATGCCAAACATCAAAACGCACCTTCACACCGTCGCTATCTCTCTCTCACTCTCTCTCTATCCTCCTCTCCTTTGCTCCCTCCTTTTTTGTCTTCTTCCTGCCTTCCCTCCTCTTGCGTCTGTTTGATCGCACTGTCAGAGTAGCAAAGTGGCGTGGTCTATTTCACTTGGCGTTTAGTTGCACGTGTGTTTCTCAAAGTAAACAAAAATATGCGACATGTGGAAGGAAAAGGGGAGCTGTCAGCATCCAGGGTTAGCTGCACCTCATGTCAGCGACTCCACAAGAAGAAGAGGGGGAAGCAGCAGCGGCAGCAGCGGCAGCAGCAGCAGCAGCTGTGAAGATGAACACCGTTGAGAGCGATGAAAGGGGAAGCGCAGGATGAGAGGCTGCACTGACTTGGCGGCAGTCCCCCGGATCAAGGTGCAGCTGACAGAAACACAAGCAAAATGTCACTTTTTTCCTTGCAAACAGTCCACGGTGTGAAGGAAAACCAAGGAGATGAAACACGCTTCCAAGCTCCGTCGTTTTATTTACTTCTCCTCTGTTCAGATGAATGAAAACGGGAGATTACGCGCAATTAAGAAGCAGTCCTGGGCAACAGCGTCTGTTCCACTCCTCGTCAGCTCCTGATCCGGTGCTTTGCGCTCTATTCTTCCCTGAGGGATCACTTTGGACCATCTCTGGGATGCCAAACAGGAGAGAACTAGTAGGTGAGGGAGGCGTGGTCTACAAAGCGAACGGTGACGCCCCCAAACACAGTTAATAACACGGACAATCAGCTGTCCACCAACCCAGACGAGCACGCTGCCCGCCCGCCTGCCTGCTGTCCCCGCCTCGTCCCAGCGTCCCGCCCCGGCCACTTAGCCAGAAGCTGTGCACAGATCGTATGTGTGTGTGCGCTCATGTTGTCTTGTGCATTGACAATTAACGTATATCAAACATCAGCTCAGGGGAGTACATTAGTTTAATCCACGCAGTTTGCCCACTGCGACTAAAGGGCAGAGCGGAGAGGAGCCCCGGGGTGGCGGCGCCGACATCCATCTTCTTCTGGCTGCGTTTGTCACTCGATCTGCTATGGAAAAGTGCCCGCATCTCTGTAAAACAAGACGGAACAGAATGCGATTAAATGTTTACAAGAGCATTACACAAAGTGGATATTTGTCTCATTATTATGTGACAAAAACACCAACAGAACACAAACAGTTGAGCATAGTTGCAGTGTTTTGTGCACATTTAATTTTGCTTTCTTGTGTCAAATTAATTCAACAACAAACGAGTTAGGAATTTTCCACATTGTGCATGAGTGTTTCGACGATCAAATGACTTAATTTGAGCATTTAAATGTACTTTCTCGTAAAATCGGAATCAAACGCGTTGAGCAGTCCAAGTGCTCATTCAGAGTATCAGCTCTGGCAGATTATGAGCTTAAGAAAAGTTTCAGCTCACAAAAAGCTTGGCAGTCTCTGCGAGCATTTTTTCTGTTACAGCCCGATGGTTTGAAATTAGCTTTGATTAGATGCATTACATAAATCTTGTGGGACTAAGTGCTGAATCCAACATAAATATGAGGATTACTGCTAAACTGCATGTGTCCCGCTGTCCAAAGAATTTGCAAACACTCGAAAGTAAGGGCTCAAAAACAAATAAACTAACACAAAATTTTGAAATACAACATTTGCATGGACCCTGAAACTGCATGGTGAGCTCATGAAACAGTGTTGAACCCAGGTTGCATGAGAGCATTTCTTCCCCATGCTGCCATCCGTTCTGGTTTCCCCTATCATTACAGAGTCATTTCTAAATTGTCAAATCGAATTGTCTGGGGGCCATCTGTTCATAAGTCCTGTTTGGTTCATTATAATGAAATGGAGCAAGCAGAGAGTCAGTTGTTTTATCAGGTGTGCCTCTTTGAAAATTAAGATTTTATCAGCAATTGTTGAAATCAGTTTGACACGTGCACGTTGTTTGGATCACAGATTAGTAAAGCTGCCTCAGGAAAAAGTAAAATAGTATTACAGAATACGCAAATTTGTGCAATATAAATACCATTCTGTAATTTTAAAAGTCTGAAACTTTTTTCATTTTTTTAAGCAATGATATGACATGTTTTGAATGCACATGCAGCCAACAGACTCGGATATTAGAGTCTCAGCAGTCTGATAAATGCCATAAACGGTCAAGGTTGGACACCACTCCCTTGCAATCATCTCATTATTGTCTATAGATGTTTATTTATGTCTCCTGCTGTGGGAGGGGAAATGTGAGCACCCCTCCACGTGAGCACAATATATAATAAATAGTGATAAATAAAAAGCTACTTGAGATAAAATGTCTCTCACACTTATACGCGCGCGCACACACACACACACGGTCAGAGCCATCTTTCAGCACATTTGTCTGATTGTGGCCGGCTTTCTCGCCATGATCCCGTCTGCCTTGGTCGGCATGCGGGCCAGCGCGAACACTTGAGGCCTCTGGGGTGGCATATATTTATATCCCCGAGCACCAACACATACTGTTAGCCCAAATATCACCGTGTCAGTATCCAAAAACAGAGATGTCAGATGGGGCCCGATGATCCAGCATGTTGTGATTTACTAACTCAATGGCACCCAGACTGGAAGGTTTGCTAAATATTCCCAGTCATTACGCACAGGCGGGAATGCGCACGCCATGTAAACGATGTTAAGGCGTGTGTATGTATATGACTTCCATTCAAGAGTCCACATATGGGATGGCGATTAAGATTTTCCTGCGTTATAATAGACATTTTGAAGCAAGTGATCAGAAAGGAGAGGCGCCTCTTCTAACCGCCAGATGTTCTCGTAAATCAAAAGGTTGGGCTGATGATAATAATGGCCTGATTGAATTGAAGACTCATAAAAATGACTAGTTGTAAAAAGCAGGCATATGCTTATGAGAATGGGCCTTATGTCCAACAATATGCTCTCTAGTCGACATAAAAGAAGATAAATATAGATGCTAACCGTTTAAATATGTCAACAAGATAAAAGCAGAATTTAATTTCCTTGATAACTACATCAAATACGACGTTATCATAACAGTGTGTTAAATAGTTTCTAAAGCATGCGAGGAAGTACTTTTCTGCAATTAAACTGAATGAAATATTAAGATTTTGGAATAAATCAGGGGCAAACTAAGATAAAAGTGTGTATTAGTAATACATATCAAACTGCTATAAATTATGTTTAATTTCCCCTGGCTGTACAACACATCTGTGGCACTTTCCCATGATGACCTCTCATATTTCACTTCAGGTTAATTGAAGGCCTGTCAGCCAGAAACCTCAGTCCCTGTATTTGGTGCAATGTTTCCATCTAGTGGCCTTAATATGACATTGCACGATTATAAATAAAACATGTAGTGTCCAAGTTAAATCACTATTGTCAAATGTAGCACTTGCATAGTAAGTGGAATGCATTTAAATGCCATCTGTCCAAGTTTCTCTGCAACCATTAACTAACATGGTTAATACATGTGGACAAGGTCTATGAAAAAGAGTATTCAAGTTGTATTATATTTAATATTGTAGGCAACATCTGAGGATGAACCTTTAGAATAAATCATGTAGATTCAGTCTAAATCTGTTGTTGTCTGAAGGGGATTACCAACTCCACTTCAATTTCTTCAATTTATTTTCTTTCTAAATGGAAACAAGTCTTTGTTTTGAGGGAAATGATGGGAAGGAATGTACAGTTTTTGTAGGAAAAAGTTACCAATGTAATACCCTTTGAAGACAGAGGTGAACTTCTCCATTTGCTTTAGAAAGCTCAGATATGTGTCTAATTTCAAAATGACTACAACATAGGCTTTCTTTGTCCTTACCTAAAAGTCAAAACAAATAACGTCAAATGGCTTTAGCAACTCTGCTGCCGACTGCTCCCCAGTTTCATGTTCCAGAAACGATTTTAGCCACACAACTACACTTCAGCAAAGAGAGTTAAACAATGTTTCATAGGTGGCGACAAAGGACTGAGAATCCATTGACTATTAATATGCTGGGTTAATGGCTGCGTTAAAACAATAAAACACTTTGATTACATTTGTACCCTTTGACGTCCTTTAATCTGAGACACACTGTGGTTTGTTCCAGTGAAATCATGTGAGACATGCGAAACAATACATCATTATAGTGAGACTGAAGCCAAGGTCACGGCTGACTCATCAGAACTCATAATGTATTAATTGCCTTTATGGCTGTTTCAGTTTTAGCTTTTTAGCACAGTACAACATAACCACTTCCTCCATTATTTTACATGGCTAGCTTTGTCTCGAAATTGTGCTCATGTAAATATGTGGGTCTTATAATGTAGATTATCCAATTAAACATATAGCTGAAACAATTGTTTTAAGTAATATTTAAAGCAAAAATTCCAAGCTGGTTTTGTAAGATTTTGATTTGATACATTTTATGTATAAAATATAATAACCTTAATATTTTAGCATGATAGACTCTATGCATTACATTAATGCATACAATGTACAACAATATCAATATATAGTTTTCTTTTCTTATTACTGCCTTATTTTTATTCCATATTTTATTCCATTCTACTGTTATATTTAACTATATTTTTAATATTTGTTTCTAGTTCTCTATCTGTGTTTTCATTTTTGTTTTACTTTTATGAATGCACCACGACACCTAGTCAAATTCCTCGTAAGTGTAACCTAAATCTGTTTCTGATTTGATTTTTATCTTAAGGTTTTGGACTCTTGGGTAAAAAAATAACTCATATGTCCCTTTGGGTTTTGGCAAACTGAAATAGGAATATTTCACTATTTTCTGACAATTTACGGAGAAAATGATTACCGGTTTAATTGACAAAACAAGGATGAAACCATAATGAAAATACAGTAATTGTTATTTGCAGCTTTACTGGATATCCATTAGTTCATTTCAAAAGACAACATGAAGCTGGATGACCTTACAATGATCAGCTCTATCATGTAATTTGAAAAAACGAGATTTATTAATGGACACACTGATACAGAAGATCTAATGTAATGTCACGTTGAATAGTGCCATAGGGCGTGCATTACAGCAGTATCAGTATGTTCTTCCCCTATATCATTCATTGGGAACTGGAAAATGTGTCATGTGCTCTCTGTAACATTAAACCAACAATAAAAAACCTTCTGGGAAAAGGTCAGGAGTGTTGGGTTAAACCTGCAGTATGTCGGCCCCTGACTGTGCTTACATCACTTAACCTCTTCTGCTTTCGCTGAAGGGGAAGTGAAGGTTTACCACTATGACTTGGAAGAGATTCTCACTCTTCAGTAGGTGTGGTGTTGTTTGTTTGGGCATTTCCAGCACGTGATGTGGTGTTTTGGGAATATACAAATCTGTGTAATCACTTTGCTAAATAAACACTGGATTTGAAGGTTACTTGGATCTGCTGTGTAAAAAGACACCATCTTGTCCACAATGTACATAGGATTTAAGGTGAAAAAAGTCTAAAGATCTTTAAATATCTGCTTTGAGAGATGCAATAACACATTTCCTATCCTGTGTTTGCCTGGTATATTTATTTTTTCTTCTGAATTATATGACATTATGTGATTAGTATGATTATAAAAGAACAGAATGCAGTTTGTCTTAGTTTAAATTCCCTTTGCCTTACAACCTGTCCTGATGCAATGTAAAACTCGATTTACTACATAACTAAAGTGTTTAATGATGCAAAACAGATAGAGAAGGACGGAGAGCAACAGAGAGATGGGAAGAGAACATAACACAAACTACATGTGTCACTTGGCAAGCAAAGGAGGAAATACCACACGTGCCACATCTCCTTCCAAAGAACCTTTGTGAGAAGGAGAGTTTCGTCTAAAAGCCACACTCACCTAACTGGTTAGGGGAAAACCATGAACAGCTTTTTCAGTCAAATAGAAAAAACTATTGATGCTTCTGTTCTCTACTAACAAGGTACAAGGTTAGGTGTCAAGAGTGTAAAGAATGATACTTTGGAAAAACAATGTAAAAAATTCCAATAAAGACTCTAGTTAAGGTCAAATATCACTTCTGCTAATAGAGAATAATGCTGCTGATTGTAACTGTGAAATAAATGAAAATCCAATATTCAGCAAAATGATACACAAGACACATTTGTTTGCATTAAATTAAAAGATTTTATTTGTGTACTCATCAGTTAAAATATTATAAACTACAGGATAAATTATTAGATAAATAGAAATTAAATTAAATTAAAAAGCATAACAAACATTCAATGATATGTCCAGTTTCGGAGATTCTCTTTTCCTGTTGAGCTCAGGGTTTGTTTTTCTTGCGTTTGTTGTTCTTGTTCTTCCTGCCTCAACTCATTCTGTAATGTTAAACAAAATATAAGGAAATTAGTTCTGAAGAAGGCAAGCAAAATCATCTAATTGAGTTCTCTGTAAAGTAACAATTAAAACCTTGTCTACATCATGCAAGCTCCTGAGATCTAGATTGATGCCGTTGAGGTTACCATCTCAAACTATTGCAATAAGGAGAACATACATTAATTATACTCTCTCACAAATTATCCCCATCTTGTGGCTTTGATGCAAATATGTCTGTATACAAAATGATAGAAGCAGGGGGAAGTCAGGTGACAAGCAACAAATTAAATTACTGAGGTTAATTAGTCATCCTGAACCCCCACTTGCCACCACTGGGAGGCACTGACCTGATGTGGCTCCACTCGCTCCATGGTGAGTCACAGAGCGCATCTTTAGCCCGGACACAGACCACCTTAGTCCTACGTTGAGTGACCCTAAACTGACAAACGTCTGAAGAGTTGAATGTCAATGTCTGAGAAATAAAAATAAGTTATATTAAGTAATTTTTTGATTTGTGGGATTTTCTGTCATTTGACATAACATTTTTATTTTGTGAGATTCATTTTTTTTTTAACTTTAATTCCATTTTAAATAGCGGATTTCAGTTGTTGTGTCTTACCTCAGTTGATTTTGTGTTTCCGCACAGGTCCTTGCATCTTTCGCATCCTCGCCTGAGCTGGGCAATCTCGAAGCTAAGAGGGAAGTAGGAGTAGGGACTGCTCCAGGAGCTCGGGTAACTCCACTGTATCGTAGTATTGTTTACTCTACTGATTTCCACCTTGTCAGGTTTTACTATAGAGATGAAAAACAAAGACAGAATCAGAAAACAAATAAAAACAGAGAAAGGGGACCGCTACAGGAAAACAACAAAACATCTCCAGGTCACACACACCTATCTCTGACAGGAGAAAGCGTTTGGAGTAGTTATCCAAATAGAAGTACTTCCTCCACACGTAGACAGTGATGTCGATATGCTGGCTCTCCTCAGTGAAGGGGCAGTGCTGCTCATCCCGGCACGAGATCTTCCTTTTTCTTTTCTTTTTTTTGTCCACTGAACAAATTAAGTTACTCTGACCTGAGGAGCACGTCCAACGGCGACCGCTTTTATCCACAGAACACTGGGTTTCATAGTTGTCAGAAACACTGCAAAATATATATTTTTATTGACAAGACTTTGATATTCATGTCAATAACATGAGTCAACATAATTTATAGACAAAAAGGCTGAGTAGCAAAACAGCATTCGGGAACTTCTAGAGCTGTGTTATTTATTTTAATTAAAATCTGATTGCAATGATCCATGCATGACATGTTAAAGAAGTACTTTGTTATGTTTCCTTTCACAAGGAGGTATTTATGCATGTCACTGTGTAGTCTCAGCTCTGGCATGAGTCTGAACATTATGTTATTATTGGAGAGAGAAACAGAAAACATTTCAGCAGCTAGTGAGCTTACCGTCGAGCTTTGATAAATGCTACTTTGCCACCAAGACCAGTGAGTTTGGGCCAAGAGCAGAGGAACTCTCCGTTGTAATTTGTAGCGGAGCAATTCAAATTCTCATCTAATAGTGGAAGAAACATAAACATGCAGAAATGGGAACACACAAAAAAAGAGAAGCAATTCATCAGTTGAAATCCTTTAAAAGTTCCCCAAATCGTGCTGCTGTTTAACTGTGACATTGCAATATTTCAAATAACACTCCACCTCTTCTCCGGTTAGTTTCATTGTCTTGGATCAGGACAACAGTGTGATTGAGGAGCGATCCATCCTTGCTGTGGCAGGTGAAGTTGCCCCCTAAGCTTTCCTCCAGCATATAGGTGTTTCCTTTCTGTTCTTTTTCATTTCCGTCCTTTCTCCAAAAAATATCCTCGATCTTGGCGTCTTTCCTCACAAGCTCCGCTGGCTGCTCCATGCACCTCAGGGGCATCTGGTCCCATGGTGCCTCCACGACCAAAACTACAGGAGGACGCAGGAGTTAAATGAGGTTATGGAAGAACTATTTGAACGTGGAGTGAGGATAATGTGTTTTCAAAGAGATCAAACTTACTGTGGGGCAGCAGAGTCCAGTGGCCAGTTGGATTTTGATGACTGACTTGCAGAAATACACACACCATAGTCAAAACAAATAACTTCATCTGAATAACAAGGAGACAGAAAGGGAGAAGGTGAGGTCTAAATACATACTACCTAAAAAAACATTACATCTTGAGTTAATGGCACAAAATGCCATAAATTGACCATGTTAGCATTATGTAAAAATCGAAGGAAATACATTTGACAATACAAAACCATGAACATTATCTAAAATAATAGAAAATATAAGGATAAATAAAAACAAAATAACAAGGAAACATTGCTTAATCGCAATAACCAAACATAAAGCAATATGATGCTTAACATTCCCTCATTACAACATCACTCAAATTTGCCTCAATATAGTCAAAATCTAAAACACATATTTAAATATATACAGTCTATGATTTAAACTCACTATACCATACCAAAGTTACTAAGAGCCACTGGCTATGTTTGTATTAATGAAAATGCAGTTGGCATGTTCATAAAACATAAAATCAGGAATCAATTTAAAATATGTCTATATGTCAATTTATAGTTTCAACATGTTACTTAGTTATTTAAAACCCTAAAGCTACACATTGTTCAATGACTAACCTATCTTTATGGATTCATCTCAATATTTTTCTAAAATAAAGTTAAACAAATAACAAATCAGTCAGATATATTACCTTTGCATTAGTCTCTCCGATTCTGCCATTCTGACGGACTTTTATGTCTTAACGCATGCTGACGTTTCAGAAGAGACAAACCCATTTCCCGTCCAGAATAAAAAATTCCAGAATAACGTCGCTTTCCATCAGCCAGGCATGAACAGAGGAAGCCATGCGCACTCCCACTGCCACACTTCACTTCACTTCTTTTGTGACCTTTTGTATTCCTGTACATTATTTACAGGAATACACACATTCTTATTATTATAAGGTTTTCACGGCTATTTGTCCCCTTTAGCAGCATATTAACGCTGTTTGCTAGCTGTAGCGATGCTATTAAGTGCAGTGCCTGTTTGTTTACCTTCAGGCTTGGCATGTAATACATTTCACTTTCATTTTGTCATAGCCTTTGTTACACTGACATCCGTGGGCAGGTTGACGTAACACTAGTTGAAAACAATAGCCTTAACCACAGCTTATTTGACATGGCTAACGGTACACTTTTTTCTCATGACAGTTTCAAAGTGTAACATTTAATGTATTTTACAAAGACACAACATTACACAAAGATGAACATTTGCACAGTACAGTTATGAATGCTCCATAATAATCTTAATTTAATGTAACAACCTCACGAAAACAGCTAGCTTGTTTCATGACATGTGGAAAGGGAGACTAACGCTACGTGCACATTACTAATCAATATTGAAATGAGGATGTATAATAAAGGTTATAGAATAGTTTCATGCTGGGGGTTAGTTGGACCAGCATTGCAGGACATCTTTATATAGAAAAGATAAAATACCTTCCTTCGTGTTTTCTGACATTACTTTTGACGTGAAAAGTGTGGCGTTATCCCAGGACCCACTGGGCCTGTGATTGATCGTGCACTGCAGACCTGCAGCGAGATTAAATTACACTTCCGGCCAAACCCTTCAGAATAAAAGGGTAAAACAAACCCCTACAAACGATAGATGTAATCTTATTACAGACACATGCATTCCGTCTACCTATGTTGTAAATGTATTATCTTTTCGATTTACACACGGCATCTAATTGCACGTCTGTCCGTCCTGGGAGAGGGATCCCTCCTCTGTTGATCTCCCTGAGGTTTCTCCCATTTTTCTCTTTAAACTGTGGGTTTTTCGCCGGAAGTTTTTCCTTGTACGATGTGAGGGTCTAAGGACAGAGGGTGTCGTATTGTCATACTGATATTCTGTACAAACTGTGAAGTCCACTGAGACAAATGTAACATTTGTGATATTGGGCTATATAAATAAACATTGATTGATTGAAGTTACTTACACAATCAGCCCTAGAGTCTTGGATATATACAAGCATTCAAAGATATCAGTGCAAATATTACTGCAAATCTAGGAGTGACTTAATTCACATTTGGTCAGAGCATTGAGAACTACACACTACAAACCTGAGATTGAAGTTCCACATGAAAGCACCTAATATGTGTATGTTTTAATTATCTTTTATCTCCAAAAGCGCAGATTAAAATAAATAAAGTTCAAGCTGTTCTATTTTCCTCTGAATGTCTCTCCCCACTCATAGCCTCAGAAACCTGGCCACGTTCATAATTCTGCCGTCAGTCAGACCAATCAACAAGAGTGTCCAAAAAACAAAAAAGCCATCCAACCAAATAAGCCTGTTAGCACTGGGGGGCGTGCATCAGCTGCTGTCTGTGATGTTTGTAATGTTTATATCCACAACTGTGTTCCAATTCATTATCCATGAGGACTCAGAGGGAGGCGTTGTGGTGAGCCAGAGACGGCAGGTAGAGAAAGGTGTAGATCAGGAGGAGCACCAGCAGAGCTAGCACCAGAGGCAGGCACCAGTCGCTGGTGAATATCACACTGTCACAGCGCGCCTGCAGGAAGGAGCCCCTTGCGGCCCCCAGCTGCTCCCGGCCCGGGGTCGGCATGGTCGAGAAACACGGCTTGTTATTTCATTCTACGACCAGCATTACTCCTGTCCTCGGCGGGAATATCAAGATGAAGAAAAGTCTCCAATAGTTAAAGTTTGAACCAAAGTGTGCTGAGTTCTGCTCCTCCCGACACTTCTGACTGTCATCCGACTGACCTGACTGTTCTTCTAGACTTGTTTTCTTCTAAATCGTCCGCTCTAATAGGTCAGACCTTTAAGCATCCTTTCATCTGATTGTCCAGCAGCTTCCTACACTGCACCCCCACCACTACCATCAAACACACACCAGGTGTTGGGTGGGGATTACTCTCTAAGCCTCCATGCAGAGAACCACAGTGTGGACAAGAGCAGTGACCTTCAACACCCCAGGATCACATACCTACCCTGCAGGTGTGTGTGTGTGTGTGTGTGTGTGTGTGTGTGTGTGTGTGTACTCACGGCTCCAGCATGTATGTGTACTGCCCCTCTGGTGTGCGGTCCTGCCTGTATGAGAGGTTGTATGCCAGCATTGTGTTGATGAGCTCTCGCATCTGCTCTTTCTCTCTGCTGCTGAACAGCTGCGGATTCACCTGGAAGAAAGAAACACAGGATTTAAGAGTTGACGCAGTCCCTGGACGTTTTAGTGATGTCTTTCTCAAGGGTCCACAGGTGACACATACTGCAATAAGATCCCAGTTCCTGCAGTTCCACACATTAACAGGTTTACTGTGTTTGGTTTACTTACAGGCCGTAGTTTGGGACAGATGATGTCGAGGAGCAGTGTGAGGATATCAAGAGACAGACTGAGCTGGCTGATCCTCGTTCTGATGCATGGTGGGATGTCGGCCATCATGGTGGACAGAGCGTTCTTGCTACCGAGGAGCCGCGAAGAGGCCTGGAGAGGACACAATAATAACAAAAATGGTTATAAAAGTAGACCACCCTGCCTAAAACATCTAATATATCTGTTCCCATATTACAAAGCTTCATTCAAAATGTTGACATCCATTTTCAAGTCAATGCTGCACTGCTTTAAAAATAATGACAATAATGTTTTGACGGTCTAAAATTCAGTTTCCTTTTTAGAAATTAGGCTACTCTAATTTATATTCTTAAAGTTATATCCTATCTCTAGATTTAAAAGTCCAGCTCCGTGTGATTGCTTCTCTGATCCAAACATTTCAAACTGACTTACTCCAGAGCGTTAGAGAGTTGATTAAATAAAAAAAAAGGACTTAGTTATTTAAAAAATAACCTTTTAGTTATCTTCATAGAATATTTGCGATTTCATCAGTTTTTCTATTTGAAACAACCTTAGTTATAATGCTACAGAAAGGTACATGTAGTGCATCGTTACCTCGTGCTGGCTGTGTGGATAGCTTATACGGGGCACATGTGTGTTGGCAAACAGGAAGTGGAAGGTGACGGACAGGAAGGGCAGATATCTCATCAGAGAGAAGTTCTGCCCCTGCAGAATCACCTGGTTCAACCTGTCTGAGAACGACAGCCACTCCAGACCCTCACATACACACTGCATGTTGGGGTCCCGCACACGCATCGACAGATAATTATCATACAGACCCTGTGGAAACAAATATATAAAACATCATAATGTGGTGGTTTAAAACGTTCATTTATAGCCTCTCTTATTGTACAGTATTTAACATCTGAGAGTAAATCAACGGTTTGTGTTTGGATGCGTGTTCCTTACCTGGGACACCTTCTCATACTCTCCGCTTGAATAAGCCAGACTTAAAATGTGCTGAAACCTCTGAGCTCCTTCCCCTGAGCCCGAGGCCTCGTCAAACCCCTCACCAATACGTTTCCTGAAAGAACAACATGTGAATATTAAGCCAGCATCTGGTTAGTTAGGATCAGGGAGAGTTAACAGAAAATATCATTTTAATTTAAAGAGTTGATATTTGCCTACACTGCCTTTTCATTGTATGTCTATTTATAAAGTAAAGACAATAATGCCTGACAATATCTTTACACAAAACTTAGATCTGCATAGTCAACAGAGAATGGATGATGGGATTCCCACGGTTAAAAGTGCAATGATTTATCTGTTTGTTAATTAGAAAAATTCATAAATGCGAGTTTTTCTTTAAAATCGCATTCAACAAATATGAGTTTTTGAAAAAATTAAATAGACTTTTCAAGACCTGACAAATTAAGCATCCAATTTCCCAGTCGGTAAACAAGGAAACAAAACCCCGCAACTTTATGGATGCAACTTTACTGAACAATGCATGGACTATGACATCATTGTAATGAGGTTAAAACAGCATGCACATTGCTTACTTCACGTCATGCACTCAAAATACAGAAAGCTTTTATAATTTCATCACAAACTCCAAGGAAAGCTCTGGCAGGACATGCTGTACCGCTTTGGCCGCTGCAGCTGGAAGATGCCCTGCCACAGATGGAACAGGCCTTTGTTCTGGTCCTTCTGCCCCACAGACACACACTGGATGGTCTTCGTGTCCACTCGCTTGTGGCCGCGGCCGTGGAGGAACTGTGCCGACAAGAAAACATTTAGTGATCATAATTACACAGGATATTAATGATCATGCGACAAACGCACTTCTACTCAACAGTGCTGCCTCCCACCTGCAGCGTGTTGATGCAAGACCTGATGTCGTTGTCCGTCTTCTCACACAGCGACAGCAGAGTTGCTGTGTCCGTCTTCATCCCCTGCTTTCGTGAGATCTGTAAAATAAAAAATGCGACTGTTGGTGTGTTCTGCAATGTTCTTGTACTCCTGTGTGTGTGTGTGTGTGTGTGTGTGTGTGTGTGTGTGTGTGTGTGTGTGTGTGTGTGTGTGTGTGTGTGTGTGTGTGTGTGTGTGTGTGTGTGTGTGTGCGTGACGTGTGAGTGTGAGTGAGAGTAACAAGAGCTATATTCAGAGCTCTGCTGCCTTGGCTACAATCTTTCATCATTGCTGTTGTATGATTGGTGTTTAGCTACGGTATTTAGCGTCTACAGCACCTCCGCTTTTAGGGTTGACGTAGACCCAACTCCAACAAGCTGTTTAGGACAGAGAGTGAATACCGGTGAATACATACTATACAGAGATGCTGTATGAGAAGCCAATGTGAGTTTGGAAGATTGCACAGTATAAATCTATTTTAGTATACCTCAACAATGGAATTATGATCAGTAGAAATGGCCATGACATGGGACCTTTAAATAATTATTACAGCATAACATTAAAAGTCCATTTCAAACCCTATCCCTGATGTTTTCCAACCAAATACGGTTGAACTTACACTTCCCCATATTTATTTGTAAGTAGATTCGAAGAGACATGAGTTTCTGACTGCACGCAAGCTGAAGCTTGGTTGCTAGGTTAC